TCTGCAGTTCCTCTATTTATTACCTACTTCATCTCTTTAACATCATCCACATGTAGTGTTTTGTGTTTATGTATTATCTCTTAAGTTTTAAAAGAAAATGTCCTAGAACATGAACTGAAAATGTTTTTTTTAAGCTATGTATTTTAGTTTTCTCTTTTGACTCGACTCTGTCCTCACCATGGAAAGCTGCTGGTATTTCTAGAAACTGTTGTGACTCTGTAAGCTCTTATATCTCTTCAACAGCTGCTTCTTTTAACACTGCTTTATACGTTACTTTAAAACCATTTACAACATTATTGTTGTGTCATTATTGTTACAGTTATATTGTACAGACATTTAAATCATTACAATAAGGATCATGGATGAAAACTGTAATATTTTCTATTTTTAATTTTTTTTTTCCAATCCTGTTTCTTTGTGATGTGAACAGGTAACCGTCCCCGTGTGACCACAACATCCAACTGGCCTGAAACATTCTGGGCTGAGACGCTCACTCTCAGATGTGAGATTGAGGGAGGTGGAGACTCTGAATGGACGTTTAGGTGGAGCACACCCAGAACATCCAAATATACAACACACAATGAATACATTATTATTAGCCAAGCCACTGATTCTGAAAACGGAGGCTACCAGTGCTCAGGCAGAAGGGGATCCCCTAATCCTACCGACACGCCTTGGAGTGAACCCTTCAAATTGACTGTAACACGTAAGTTGAACCATGTTGTCAATAATTAAAATGTCCAGGTGGAAATGATTTCATCTAAATGAGAAAACAAAACATTGCTTGCTTAAAGTCTTTGCAGGGAGCTGTGACAAATTATTTTTTAACTTTCAGCATGGTAACAAAATAACTGAGAAACTTAAGACTATCACATCTTTTGTAATCTGCTTAAAATATGTCTTAATATGGTTTAAAACAGTGAATTTTGATGTCACTAACAGTGTCTGAATAATTTCTTATAAATATTGGCTAAGTTATTCACATTTGACAAAGAAGATGTTTGTTGATATTGATAGAGCTCTCCTAAGTTATGATTGCTGTGTCAAAGTGAGAAAAGTATCTCAGATCCTCAAACATGGGCCTCCTGGCCCCGCCTCCTGGCCCCGCCTCCTTCCTGTTATAAACTTCGAGGCGACCGAGCCTTTGCAGTCAAGGCCCCACGGTTGTGGAACAGCCTTCCTCCCTCAGTCAGGGTCTGCCCCCTCTGTGGAGTCTTTTAAGTCACGCCTCAAAACACACTTTTACATGTTGGCTTTTGAGTCCTAATTAGGTTGTTTGTGTTTCTTTCTGATGTATTTCTATCAAATATCATTTAATATTATAGTCTGATTATATAGTTAGTATTCTGTGTGTGCATTTGTGTTTGGGCACATATGTATGTGTGAGTTTTTGTCTTGTTTTTCTAAATATGCTTTATGAATACATTTGATTGATTGATGCTGTTTTTTAAAGTGATACATGATTTGGATCTTTTCTGGAATTTAACTATTTTAAATTTAATATAATTTAAGAGATAAATCTTAACACTAGTTTCAGCTCATAATTCTTCAAGTCATTTTTACTTCTGGGCTCAGCACTGTTTGAATTTGACCAAATTGTAGGTACGGTAATTTACCTTTTTACATCTTTGTTTCCAAATCAAACAGCAAGAAGACCAAAGGCTGAACTGAGAGCTGACAGGACATCAATTCCAGCAGGGGGCGCTGTGACCCTGACCTGTGATGTGAACCCTCTATCATCTGGCTGGACGTACATCTTGTACAGAAGAGATCACTCGGGCACACAAGATGATGGTAAAAACTTTAATGGACGAATCAGTGTCTCCAAGGGAGGAGTCTACAGGTGCAGAGGAGTGAGAGGAGAACCAGTTTACTACACAGAGTACAGTGATTCAGTCATTATCAACATCATTTGTGAGTTTAACATTTTTGAAAACTTGTAATAATATATTCTATCGATAAATTGATTGATAAAAAGACTAAAGATGTTTCTTTTTTTCTCATCATTGTGTCCTTGTTGGGATCTCTTCATCACAAACAATATCAGACAGAGCTGTTGTGACTCTTCAGCCCCATTGGACTGAGATATACAGCGGAGAGAAGATCACTTTGAGATGTGAAATCGAAGGTGGAGACGACTCTGAGTGGGAGTATGAGTGGGAAACAACCAGCACTGATAGATCTGTAAGACAAAGTGAATCCTTTGAAATCACTGCTACTTCTTACAGGGAAGGAGAATACAAGTGTAAGGGAAAACACAAAACTGAGGTACTTTCCTCAACACCATGGAGCACTCCAATCACATTGACAGTATCAGGTAAGATGGACTTAAAATCAACATGAAAACAGTTTTTAGGATGTTTGTGTATGTTAAGAGAAACTATCATTCATATCTGAACAGTACTCAAATTGTGACTTTATTTCTTCATTGAGAAAGTTTTAGTGCAGATCACAGTGATTAAGTGTTTCTTTGGTACAATAAGTTTCATGGATGAAGTTCATGTGTATTTATTTCCATAAGGTATTTTATTAATGGCTATTTAAAGAAACAGTAATCCTTTTTATATCCCTGTTTTAAACTGAACAGAACAAAAACCAAAGGCTGAGCTGAAGGCTGATGACACAGATATTCCAGTAGGAGGTTATGTGACCCTGACCTGTGATGTGAGCTCTTCATCTGGTTGGCAATACTACTTTTGGTACAGAGCAGATAAATCATCTAACTCATCATCCATACATGAATTCTCCTCGGCTGGACAAAAGCGTGTCTCAAAGGAAGGACTCTACTGGTGTAGAGGAGAGAGAGGAAACCCAGTTTACTACACAGAGGACAGTAATACAATTCAGTTAAAAGAAAATAGTAAGTTTTGCATATTGACATTCTTTGGTGTAGATTTAAGGTTTTTTCATCTTTGTATACTTACTGTGAATTCTTCAACATTAGCGGTTGCAAACAAGGCTGTCGTGACTCTGCACCCCAACTGGTCTGAAATCTACTCTAAAGAGTCGATTACTCTAAGATGTGAGATAAAGGATGGAGACGACACTGAGTGGGAGTACGAGTGGAAAACAAGCAACTCATTCAAACCTCCAAAGGAAAAGGAATACAGTATTGGACCTGCTGATACATCACACAGTGGAAACTACAGTTGTAAGGGCAGAAAAAAAAGTGACCAGTCTCCAACAGGTTGGAGCGATCCCATCACATTAACGGTTTTATCCAGTAAGTAACATTTCTTTTATATAAACATTATACTGTACTATCAGATATTCCATCATTACATGGTTTTATTTCTTTGAATAATCACTTTTCCAACAGGTTCACCCCAGCCTGTCCTCACCGTGTCTCCACTCTGGCTGAGTCCTGGAGACTCTGTGACTCTGAACTGTGAGGTTAAACACCCATCAGCAGGATGGAGGTTCTACTGGTATGAAGCTATTCCCAAACTATCTGACAACTCCTACAACTACCAGCTGCTATCTGGAAGCAGAAATGGAACTGAAAAGTATTCCTTCATTGTTCATGGACAGACACACACAGCAGGATATGTGTGCAGAGCTGGAAGAGGAGAAATTAACACTCCTTATAGTGAACCAAAGTTTGTCTGGTCTGGAGGTCAGTTTGTTTCTGTCTTTATCTTGAGATTAATATCTTTATTCAGTTTTGATCTATGAACAACATAGAGTTTCTTCAGTACTTTTGTCTGTATTGTACAACAATCCAAGAGCAACATAGGAATCGATCACGATGACTTCATGCTCTTTCTTTCCCCTTCCTTTTAGTGAACAACTTTTCATTGAGTTGTAAGCGTGTATACATACATATACATTCTCAAAATAGTTAAACAGAAAGCTTAATATCTACACTTGATTATCAAAATAAATACACAACTTAACTTGGAGCTAATGTGCAGGTAGTTTGTAAATATATCCTCATCTGTCTAAATAGACAATTTAAAAGCATCATATATGTGGTGTGTGTGTATCCACAAGTGCATATGCATGAGCCTACAGTACAATATACACAGGCAAATGCCAAACTCGTTTCCTTGGTGAGTGGTTGATGTTGTTTTTGGTAGCATGAAAAACACTAAAAGGAAGATTATTAGAGTCTATCACTTAAATAATCGTTCAATAAAAACATTTTACTTTGTATAATTAAGCATCTTATTGCTAATTGCTTACTCTCACATGTGAGGGCTTGTTTGATTAAAATAATGTTGGTCAGTAATCAGTGGTATGTAGACACTATATGAAAAATCTAATTCAGCCATTCCTGATAAAACAGAATATGGACTGATGGAAAAAAAAACAATGCTAATCTGTCATATCTTTGACAAATGGCAGGTCAAAGAAAGTCTTTCAATTTACAGACCGAATTCCTTGGTTGGATCTCTACATTAAATATAAAATCCAATGGCAGCTAACGGTCTGGGCTTTGTTGAAACTCTTGTTTCTTTCTTTCTTTTTTAGATTTGCCTTCATCAGCATCTCTCACAGTGAGTCCTGAAAGAGTGCAACACTTCATCTCTGATTCTGTCTCACTGGAGTGTAAGGGGAACTCTACTCAGTGGAGAGTGAAGTTTCAAGAGGACAGCTTCCTGGCAGATTGCTCCCTGAGGGATACAAAGACTGGATCAACATGCACAATAGATCGTCACATCTCAAGAAATAATGTGTACTGGTGTGAGTCTGGATCAGGGGAGTTCAGCAACGCTGTCAACATCACTAAACAGAGTATGTTTTTATTACATTTCTTCTTAAAGTTTTTATCTTTCAGCATCCAAGTATTCAATTCAACATCATTCAGTTCCACGTTATCTCCATCGACATTGAGAAGTAAAAGAGCAGCCCAGTGTGGGAGAGTTTACTCTCTTAATTAGATAAAAGCAAAAATTAAGGTCTGAGTGTATATCATTATTAAATACTGATCACATTTGTAGACAGTTGCTGTTCAAACACATTTGATGCCAAAGTCTTAAACATAAGAAGGAGTAAGGTGTATGTTGCGCACACTGAATTATGACAGTGTGGGTTCCATAAGAAAGGTGTTTTTATTCACAGCATTCATAACTGCAAACACAACAGAAAGACAGTCTTGTATGAGAATCGGCATATAGTGCTGCTTTGCAGACTGTCTGATGCGATACAACTGTGCTTACTTCCTGCAATACACAGGGAACAGCGCCAGTTGTTGACATTCAATGCTGCTACTGACACCTACTGGCCACAATGAATATTGTCCTGCAGTATTACAGCCTATGCAGGTGAATCCCTCCTAGTCACACAAGTCATCTTAATGACATAAAACCAGAAAAATAATAGTGGGGGGCACGGATGTAATAATATAACTGGCATAGTCTTAGCTACTAAAATACTCAGGGTGCCACATGTACACAAGATAACACATCAGATTAATCATCACTTTGAAGCATTTCTGTAAAAAAAGAAGAAATATATTCTCATCATTCTGTGTCTGCTAATTTTCATGTTTGAACCTGATGACCTCTGACTGAATCCTCTTTTCTTTAACTGTTTTACAGGGTATGACATTATCCTGGTGAGCCCTGTCCATCCAGTGACTGAAGGAAGTTCAGTTAGTCTTAGCTGCAGATTGAGACGCTCAGATATTGTTTCCAATGTGTTCTTCTATCAGAATAACAAACTCATTCAAAATGATACCAGAAAGGAGCTTAATATCTCTGCTGTGTCAAAGTCTGATGAGGGCTTCTACAAGTGTCAGACCTCAGGGAGAGAGTCGTCTCAGAGTTGGATGTCAGTAAAAGGTGAGTAAGATAACCAACACTTGTCTGCTTTAGTGTTTACCAGGATTTCTTTAGTATCCTTCGAAAGGGAAAATCAAGTGAAATCTTTTGTTTGTACCTCCTGGATTCTTAAACGTAGGTGATCACATTATGTATTCATGTTGAATATTATTTGTATACATTTTAGAGGTTTTGTCTTTACTACCAGGACTGAAATAACACTTTGAATCAGTTGAAGGAGTGTTTGTATGATTGTAGTATCAGTGACTATTTGTTATTCTTTATGGCAGTGGAAATGCTGTTTGAGGAATCCACATTTCCTGTAATTTTCTGTGATTGTTGGGCTGATTTCTGGAGTAGTGCTTACAATATTTCTGCTCCTATTGTATCATTTCCTTCAGTCCAAGGGTAAGACCTTTCTTTTACTTCTAATTGTTAAATGCTTTATTTATATTAAATATAAAAATGCACTGACAAAGATTAGCAATGTGACTTATATAAAGTAAAAAACAATGTAACAGCAAATGTCTTTTCACAGACTCGTGCTTCAGGAGGTAGGTTCAACTCTCTCTTTACTTAATTTAAATATAGCAGTAATTAAAACCATGGTCCTCAATGTAATGTTTGTCAATCCTGCATGTTTAAGGCCAAGCCAGTCTGAGAGTAACAACCAAGACTCTGCCAGAAGTCATGAACTTTACCAGAATGTGGCTCAACCTGATGTATACTCTACTCTCCTGCACGGTAAGCATTTCATCTTGATATTGTGTATTTATACACACAATTTTAGAAATTAATGTAGCCTTCAAAATATATGAATCCAAAATGTGACTTTTGCTTGGTTTTGACTTCTCTATAGGTGATGCCAGTGTCTACGAAACACTACAAATCTCTGAGGACAACAACGCTGGTACTGTAGTTTTTTAAATTAATATACACTGAATGAAATATTTCAAATTTAAGGAAAACATGTCACAAAAGAGTTTCATGTTCGTCATGCATTTGTCTATTTGAACGACACTTGTCCTTACAAACTTTGATGAACAAATACTTGATTTTCATTTTTCTAAAGGGGATGATTACGTCAACCAATCAGTAAGGCTCTGAAGACACTGAAAATGGTACAGTGTATACCTTTATATTCATGTGCACTCCAAAAATGCCCAATGTAATACAGTTGAAAACATGAATATATATTTATTTCTTTCCTGGGTTTTTTTTGGAATAGAGGCCAGACGTCTTAAATCAACAGCAAATAAATCAAAATAATGTTAGTTGGATTCTTGTTTCTAGTTTTAAAACGACAGTCTTTGAGTTAAAAGACATGCATAACTATATACAGAAGCCACTTGGCCATCTGATTACTAGAGAGGACCTCTGAGACATATCTGGTCTGAATGTTTTTAAAGTAGATATTTTGTGCAAAGAAAAGTGTGGGACTACACGGACATAAAAGACAAAACCTTTGGATAATTTAAATACAAGCAACTGTATACTGTGGACTAACATGTTTGTGTTTACTTCCCCAGTTCTTTGAACACACAGTTTGTAAATTCAGCCTCCAGGGGACTACCACAAAAGACGACATCAAGGCTGGCGGGGAATCATGGGAGTGATTCTCTCTGCTACTCTGTCCCCAACCCTGATGAAAATGAGCTAAGAGTTGACCGTAGTGAAGACAAACGAGTGAAACCGACCTGAGGAAGAGAATATGTTTACAGACGATGTATCCAAGTCTGATTTACATGAAGTTTTTATCACAGCAGCACATACAGCAACAGTACGGTGTTTCCATGGCAACGATATACATGTCGTGTCTGTCATGGTGGCCACCACGACAACACGGCTTCTGTTACTATAATATTAAGGATTTCTCTGGCTTTGATAACTGTTGGAAATATTTTTCGGGAATGTAAGTACGAGACAAAAAATATATTTGTAACATAAGTTTTGTGAATTTTGAATTATTTAGATATTTAAGTGTAAAAATTCTTATAACTTTCTACATATTGTATATTTAAAGGAGCTGATTAAATTACATAAATTATGTTCACATCGTTACTTAACATGCAACTCTGCTTTCCAACTATCACAAATGTTCAAGGGTTAGTACAGTTCATTTGTTTTCTGGTTAAATAAGAGTGACAGAATATGTATTACATTACTCATATTAGCTAAAAGCTTACAATTATTACCAGAATATTCTTGACTATTCTTATTTTTAGAAGTATATATTTTATTTTGTCATTTATCTGTCAATTTTGTGTATTAAACTCTGGATACGAGTTGTTTCAGCTGCTTCATACTGTATATTTTAGCTTGAGCACCCAGTTGATAGTGCAGCTTTAAAGTCGGCTTCTTTGTCAGTGTTGGCTTCCAAAGATCCCGGATGGACATCAACATTACTTTTATATCTGTGATGACCTGCTCTCAACCAACATAATCATTTACATTATAGTTTATTGAACCGTCAGTAATTTGTATCTTAATTATTTCATAGTTATGTATTGTTAAAGTATTTCTGCTGTAATGTTCCTAATAAATGTTTTAAACAGGAACAACAGTTTCTTTTGGTTGTTCTTGCTTTTTGACCAACCAGCCAATAAGAATAAGGTCACATCCACCCCAGATGCAGTTCTGACCCTCATCCCTGTGGTGTCTGTTATCCCTCTCTCTCTTTCCCATATTTCCCGTCTATCTTCAGCTTTACTATCTAATAAAGACGAATGCTAAAAATCATCCTTGAAAGAAGTTATGGTTGTTACTTTTAGTCGTTATCTGTCAAAGACGTGAAGTTCTCTACCGTTGAAAATATAGAAATACAAATTATTAACAATTTCACCTTTTTACAGCATTGCAGCTTTGTGGCAGAAAATAACCAAGGTCCTGCATCCCATGAGCAGCCATTTTGTTTTCTTCTTGACTTGAAAAGCAGAGCTTTAAATGTTACACATTATTGGTAGTTTCCTTTTAGTAGTTTACTCAATCAGTATTTACAAATTACCCCATACAAGAATATATAAACGTTCTATTCAAATTATAATAAAATACGTTGAGGGATTAAACTTGTTGAAAAGGTTTAGGCTGACTCTGAAGCTTTCTATACCTTCTCTTTTTAACATCAAATATACTTGAAGTCGACCCTTTAACTACTAAGTTCACTTCACAGAAACAGTTTCAAACATTTCAAACAAAACAAAATGAAGTTCTAAAACATTTTATACTAATCAAGTAGGCATTAAAAACAAGACACAACCAACAGTTTCAGTCTTTGATAATCATACTTTTGTTCTTATATATGATGCTATACTCTATATGTATATATCTATACATTTGGTGAAGCACTTTGTAACCTTGATTAGTGAAGTGCTATATAAATAAAGTTATTATTACTATATCTTTTTATCACCTTCTTTTAAACATGTTTTATGAGCTTTGAGCCTTTATTTGTTAGGACAGTGGATAGCATCAGAAACTTGAGAGAGAGGGTAAAATAGTTGCAAGAGTAGCCACATGTCGGACTTGAACCAGGGCCGCCTGCTTGACGGATTTCAGCCTCTGAACATGGGATGCTACCTCACCGCTAGGCCATCAGCGCCCTTAGGTTTTTTTTTCTTTAAATGAGGAAATTGAACTACATAATTTAAATTAATTATCACAGCTGTTCCACACGTTTTATTAACTTCTGTTTGCACTGTAACTTCTTCTTGTGCATTGAAGCCTCTCACCAACAATTTTCTCTTTTTCTCTTCTGCTTTTCTCATATACGATTGCTATACTTATAAAATGTTGGTATTAATTGCTACTTAATTGTCAACAACAACATCAAGCTGCTTTCATCACATGAAAGGTGCTATATGAATAAGGTCACATCAGCATCCGTTGTTAATACTACCTTAAGTTGTTCAAAGTTATAAATACTGTGAATTCTGCTGCTTCAGTGACATCATGTCCGGCCTGAGTGAAAGGCACGCCTCCTATAGCAGAGGTGTTAATACAGGAAGTGGTCAGCCAGACTGTGGTTTCTACGTTCTGCTTAATTAAGATGAGTAAAACTGAACTTTTCACCAAAGGTTCCAAAGAAACCACTGATCAACGAGTTAGAGCACGCTGTGAAAGCTTCAACTGTTCCCTCAGTATTCTCAATAAGAAAACGAGTTACAGTCAGTACTAAAAGAAAAACATCTAGATGGTAAATGAGGCAGAACCTAAAGTAACATGTCAGATTAGATGAA